CTTTGATATTATATAATGGCATTCAATTTAAATACTTTGGATTTTATCTCAGAAGTCAGTTATATTAAGATAATATTAAAATATTTCACTGCAATTATCTTGATCAACTGATTGGCAGATAATCTTAATAGTAAATAATAATAAAGACGGCTTTTAGCCTACCCGGTAGATGTTGTTTTCGCAGACAAATGAATGTTGTCCGCTCTGTGTTATGTTTACAAGTTGACCATGTTCGCTTCGCGCTGATTGGCTGTGTTTTTTCAAGGAAGCTAGCCACGGAGGGATGTGCAGAGACAAAGACGCCACAGATGAACAGGCAGACAGAATAAAAATGCAATAAGAGAGTTCGAGAAATAATTATTACCAATATCAAAATACCAAAGTCATTGTTTTGCAGTCATACTCTTGAATGCTTCAATAATTTTTCTTCCTGTAACGTTTTCAGACTATCTTTGATAATTCTATATTTATAATTTGCAGTGGGAAATATWCATGGATGTGGTGCTTCAAAAGCCTCTTATAAAGCAAATTTATTCGACATAAATTCATAAGGTAAATCTACTTCGTTATACCCTGCTAACAGAGTCTTATTTACCTTACCTCAGTAAAATATTCGCGAAGGAAATAACACTCTGTTCGCAGAGTACTTTGTAAAATTTTGCAAAGCGGAGAAGTATCATGATGTAGCTAGCTTCCTAGCTTCCATATCATGATGTAATTCCTAGCTTTTTAGTGTCGAGCGAAAAAGTGAGCAAAACKTTTACACTAAAGTCTCGATCCGCAATTACTTGAAATCATTTGATGGTAGTAGCGAAAGCTATTCAAAGCGGAAAATGATAAAAGGGAGAAATATGTGTTATAAAAATAATGGTGAAGGAATATTTTAGTGCAGGAAATTTCATACAGTCCGTAAAGCTCAGTTCATCAGGAATACGAAGTCAATGGCTCTGGTTCTCGAAATACCCGGCGCGAACAATTCAATACACTTCAAGGAAAAGTGTTTCCAGAAGCAATCTGCTAGATCAGTAACGAATAGTAAGAAAATCTTGAAATCATATGTTGTGCTAACCTGATTCAGGCGATAAGATTGGCGATCATTGGACTTTTTCCTTGGTTCTTTTGAAATCAAATTTCACTAGTGTTTAAATATTTTGTGTGGATCACGTCGTCATAGATCACGTCGTCAAGCAGAATGTCAAATATTTTTGCATGTTAAAATTTGAGACTGCGCAATATGTATAGGGGGTTTGAGAATCCAGGGGAGGGCAAAATGTAATTTTATGTGCTTAAAGAGGAAAGGGGGGAGCAAAATGCAAGGGGGGCATCACGGCCCGCGAGAAATAATCGTAAGTCAAAGCGTGGTTACTTCACTACTTATAATTTAATAATAACGCCTTTTAGAGAACAGCGTCCAAGCTTTAGAGAAGCGACGTATAATAATCAACACCACCACATCTACTTATCGCCAACGAACTCAGTCGAAAAGATCATTATGTCTTACAAATATGAAGAACGTGTGGCGAGACTTTCCAAAGACGATCTTTACATGGCATTGGCTCTTTGGATGGAGGAATTTCCATATTTTCAAGGAAWAGATGATGGCTGCAAAGGTGTAGGAGTTGTGTTTGTTCTACCAAGCGATCGAGTTTTAAGCGTCGACTGCAGTCGCGATGGCATCCATGGAATTGCTCGAGTGATCGTCAAACACTGCGCGGACAGAGTGGAAGGCTGCAACGTTTTCGTCTCTCGGAAACCGTGTTCTATCTATGCCAAACTTCTTGTACAAGCAAAAGTGTCAAGGGTCTTCTACTTACCGATTATGCCAGAAAATCAAGACAAGAAGGACCTGGAAAATGTCGATCGTCTCTTCAAAGCCAGCCCTGTTGCACAGTCTAAATCCGTTCCCCGTGTTGATGAGAGTTTATTCACTAAAATAAAGGACAGAGAGGGTTTGAATGACACCGATGTCAGCTCCTGCCAACAAAAACTTTTCAAGAAATGGTGGGATGAAAAAAGTGTCACTAAGTTTTACCTTCGTGACAAAAAATTGAAACACCAAATTAAACGGGATTTCCGGTTACTCATGAAATGGATCGCTTCAATCAAGACACCAGTTTATAAAGAAAATACGAACTTTTACATCGTCGACTTTAAAAATGATTTGCAAGTAATTCATACTGATACAGAACTGACCGAGTTTCCCGGCGGAGACGTAGCTAGGCACATGATGGTCTTTGCCAAGATGCTTGCTCGTCAGACAGATGACCCAAAAACAGGAGTTGGGGCAATTCTGATGGAGGAATTAAAGGAAATCGTGGGTCTGGGATGGAATGGATTTCCATCGAAAGCTTTGTATGCAGAATTTCCACGCGCCTCGGATGGAGACGATATTAGTACAAGAGAAAAAAAGTTTCCTTATGTAATTCACGCCGAACAAAATGCTTTGATGAGTAGAAATGAAAAGGACTTGAAAGATGGAATCCTCTTTGTCACAAAATGCCCTTGTGATGAATGTGCACCTTTGGTCAAACTAAGTGGAGTAAAA